AATATCATCAGTTTTTCAAATACTCACCAGAACCAGTCTGGCATCAGCAACTGACTCATTCACTTTCCTTCCTCATTCTGAAGCAAGGTTTGAACTTCTGTAGATTTTCATTGAAATCTGTAAATTTCATTGAACTGCTGACATGACTGAGTGTATTCCTCTGTTGTTATTGATGGCTGCCTAGTAACATAAAAAAAATCTGTTGACAATGACAATAAAGTTTCTGATTCTGACATGTTGTCATTGTCACAAGAACAACGAAATTAAGAATGGTCCCCGATCACAGCATGTGCTGTGTCAACAGATTTTTTTTGTATAAATATTTCTAGTTTCTTTTAGAAATCCATTAATTCTCTTTCGCTTATCCTTTGCTTTCATAATTAAATAAAATATGCTTGTGTCAACAGATTTTTTTTGTCAACAGAAATTTATAGAAATATTTATACAATAAATACGAAAGAGCCTAAGAATACAATTTAAAGCTGGTTCTTTATCAAGTTGTTTTTTTTATTTTTTTTATGGTTTAATGATTCACAGGTCAGCATTAAGTGGTTTAACAAACAACCAAAACTTTCCACTGAAAATGGTCAGGTGCAAGAACTGGACTGAAAACGAGTGAAAAAGCAGCCAGAATGGAGAATAAAGTTTGGAACAAAATATAAAGAAATGAGAGAAGGTTGGAAACTTGTATAAATGTATTCGACTGACTTCTGAAACGTTAAGCTCAGGTTTAGACAGTCACGAGGCTTCATTAGGATCATTTCCCCAGGGACTGGTGTTGGTGTACGTGAGCGACAGGACGGACTGATTTTACATCACCACTTCCCTTGAATTCTTTTCTGCAACAGTCACCGGTTAATGGTAAGCGTATATAGTATACATTCAGCCATGCTGGCGCGCGCTTTTCATCGCAGCCTTCCTCGCGCAGCGGGACTGTGCTCGTTATAAAAGCTCCAGCCGCTTCTCCGCTCTCCCTTCAACATTTTCATTTCTTTCTGGCCGACTAGAGGATAGCAGGAACTCATTCCCGGCAGCAGCAGCATGCAAACTTTCCTCGGAATCCTGCTGCTTCTGCTGGTCCTTCAGCGGGTACCTGCGCAGGTAACTCCACCACCAATTGGATATTCTCTCTTTTTTTTCTTTTCATTTTTCCTTTTAAGGTAAGGGTTTAAGACCCATCACTGCATTACTTATCAAAGTTAAAGCGGGCTAAACTTAAGACTGAATCTCTCTGGCTGGAGTTTAGTGAAGTGAAAGAGAATTAACCTTGTCCTTTTCCCCGACTTTTCACTTGATTCCACGCGTGACAGCATAAAACAGCTGTACCCCCACAGTGAATGCACTATCTGCATTCATAGTGGGTTACCAATAATCTGTAGACGAAACTAGCGTCAGATGTGTGTTGCTCATGCACACAGAGATTTAAAGCTACGGGCCCCAGAGCTCAGCTAGAGGCTGTAATGTGGCTGAAACCGCGCTCACAAGCTGTAATTTTGCATGCGATTTGCATGTTTTCTGGCTGTTATGAGGGAGGTCGTGACATTTTCTGCGTGATTTTCCCTTGGGTGCTTCTTCTTGGTGTGCAGCTTCATACCCGAGGCCACACAGGCACATTTAGTATCACCCAGCAGGGCGCTAAGCGTACAACGAGTATCGGTTACAGTGATAAGGTGTAGGGTTTGTTGGGTTTTGTTTTTTTTAACACACTGCAGAATAGTTTTAGTATCCATTCCCAAAAGCTTCTGGGATATGTGAGTCGAAGAAGACTTTAGAGTCCCCTTCAAAAGTATTGCATTAGACTAACGAAGATCTCCTTTGTGCTATGCAGACTGCGTGAGACAGAAGCACTGGTTAGTACCATTATTATGAATTTCCACTATGGGTCACAGATTTTGTCTGACCGGAGGCCATTTATGAATCTGCCCCCTTCCTTTCCTCATAAATTACAAAGCTAATCAATGCACTGTGTTGTTCACAGCACATCATGGCTGAATACAGCTGTTGTATGCAGCTGGTCCAACTGGTGGATGCTGCGGCACATTTAACAACTCTTGGCAGAAGCCAACTCGTTAAATTATGCTCTTTTATACCGCCTGAGCTATAGAAGCAGTGTCTGTGTGTGAGATTAGGAAGCCTCCGTTCCCATCCGTGTTCGCAGGGTTATGAGGCCAAGAGAGAAGTTTAAAAAAGAGAAAGAGATCTCTTACATTCAAAAGGCAGAAGAGAGCCAAGATCAACTGTGCACGCCCCAATTTGTAGTTCAAAAAAATCGGGAACTTTGCCAGTCCTGAGTCTGCAGGCCGGGCTGTGAGAACTTCAGAAAATTCATGCTGTGTCACATTTTACTTTTCACTTTTTCAGCATCGCTTTTACTTTGGCTGTGGTTAGTGTGTAACAGTCCTATGAGAGAATGCTCAGCTATTCTCAGCAGCTATTCTTCACTGTTATTCTTTGCATGTTTTCAAGGCTTTTTGACCGCGTGATAATAAACCTTCTTGCGACCAATGGAGAAATCAGAAGCACTGCTGTTGTTTGCTGGCTCATTTTACAGCTTTTTCCCCCCCTGCCGCTTTTCAGCCGCACAGCAGTGCGCTCCTCACACCATATTGCGTCATCCTTTTTTATTATCTCATCAATGTGCCTGCACTAGTTTTATTTTTACACCAGAGGGTGCTCCGTAGCTGCAATGAAAACCATTTCCACCATGCCTGGTTCTGACTAGAGAAAGTCTCCTCAAGTGCTGTGCAATGCTGCAAATATTGATAATGATCTGATACCAAGTAAATACATGGCCAGGACTTTAGGTCACATTATGTAGTTTAAATCTCATACAAACATGCTTTATGTAGTCCTGTGTTGATGGTCTGTTATATCTTACATGTAGCACCATGGTCTTGGAGGAACGGTTTCTTGTTTTATTTTGTACTGTAACTTGACATGATCTGCCATAGACTATTAATCAAACAGATGGGATATTCAACACAACATGGTTGAGACATTTTTCAAAGTGCATGTCTCATGTCTACTCGTTTCATCCCCCCCCAAGATGTTTTAATTTAACACAATTCAGTGGGCTACATACTGACATTCATAGATAGATAGATGGATAGATGGATGGTATAGGTATTATTATAGGTGTAATCAGTGTCTGTATTGATCTACCAACTTCTAGGCTTCTGGCTATTTGCTGGTCCTGTATTATCTCCAACAATGTTTGGCTCTTTAAAAAAAAAAAAAAAAAAACAACAGAAAAAACAAACAAATTGAATTATTTTTATTATTTGCAGATATCAGATGAAGAGGGTCCCAATACAGGTAAGAGTGATGCTCTTTATCATGGCCCACTGAAAAGGCTCTCCTACCTGCTGCAATTGACTTAAAGATTAAGATCCAACCTCTTATGTAGTAATTCAGTTGTCTGAGGTGATGGCAAAGTGCTCGTGTCAGGTCATGGACCAGCTGGTGTATGTGTACGATGAGTACCCCCAGTCGGTGGAGAACATCTACATGCCTCATTGTGTGGTGGTTCGCCGATGCTCTGGTTACTGTTCGGGTGAGGAATTCAAGTGCCTTCCTACCCTCGAACGCAACGCCACTCTGCAGGTGAATCAAGTTCTGTTCACATCAATTGTATTTATGTAACACTACAACAACAGTCGCCTCAAAGCACTTTATTGTTAGAAAAAGACCCGACAATATTAGCAAGAAAACCCCAACATTCAGACGACCCCCTGTGAGCAAACAATTGGTGACAGTGGGAGGGAAAAAAATCCCTTTTAACAGAAAGAAACCTCTGGCAAACCAGGCTCAGGGAGGGTTAGCCATCTGCTGTGATCGGTTGTGTGACCATGTAGCAGAGAGTCAGAGATTAAAAACAAGTAATGATGATATGCAGAGCAGTGTATAATAGTCGAAAAAGGTGAGTGACAAAGAAAAACTGAATCATGGGAAGCCCCAGCTGATTAGGCCTATTGCAACATAACTAAGGGAGGGTTAAGGATCACCTGATCCAGCCCAAACTATAAGGTTTATCAAAAAGGAAAGTTTTAAGCTTAATATTAAAAATAGAGAGGGTGTTTGTCTCCTGCCTCCAAACTGGTTCTGCAGAGTGGCCTGAAAGCTGAAGGCTCTGCGTCCCATTCTACTTTAAATACCCTAGAAACCTTAAGTAAGCCAGCAGTGTGAGAGTGAAGTGTTCTGTTGGGGTTGATATGGTATGATGAGGTCTTCAAGATATGATAGCGATATTATTCAAGACCTTGAGAAAGAGTTTAAATTTGATTCCAGATTTAATGGGAATCCAATGAAGTGAAGCCAGTATTGGAGAAATATTTTCTGTTTAGATTCAGTGTTTACCTTCATGTAGAGTTTCAGCTTCTTCTTTTTTATTTTCTCAGCTGAAGATTTCTTCCCAAGAACAGCCTGTGGAGCTCACATTTCTAGAACATCAGCAGTGTCAATGCAGGTCCTTTACTGAAAACCTCATCTTTCTATTAAACACTAGATCCAAGATTATTAGTTATGCCACAGCTGACTTCTAAATGTGTCTGTGGTTTGTTTCTTCTCTTAGAGACCCTGAGAATCTTCCGTACTATGAAAGATCAGTAATTAAGTCAGTAAGTAACACAGTGAGTAATGAGTGTTTTGTCTATCAGAGTTGAACACATCAATATTTCTGAGGTCTTTCTCCTGCAGCAGCAGCAGCAGCAGCAAGTCCACTGAGAGCAGACCTCGGAGGAGGAAACATACCAAGAAATGGCTGTAGAAAGTAAGAGACTGATTGCTCCCCTGTGGCACTCACACACACCTTTCTTTTTAAATGATGTTTGGGCATTTACAGCTACATTCATCAGTGTTTCCTCCCCTTTGCCAGACCACCAAGGGCAGCAAAGCTAAGCAATATCATAATAGTCTGGGTGCTGCTGTGTTGCTCTTCCCTTTGATGACCCTGGATAAATTCAACAAGTACTTCTGATGAGTCTGTGCTTCTGTAAGGTCGCGAAGTATTTGCAATAGTCCAGGGTTACTGATAGTCTGAAGGTTAAGTTTAAAAATCTTTTATCGGAGAGAAAAAAATATCATGCATGAGGAAGCGCAGAGGCTTCTATATCTACATTCTTAGTTACAGCAGGCAGCCGAGCCTCTTCACTATGTTTGCACTAACTCATAGGTTTATTTTTTTTTCTGGCATTTGGGGATAACGGTTCCACTCTGACTTTGAAATCGCATCTGACAACATGTTCAAATCTAACCTCTGCGCAGGGGAAGATACATTTTATTTATCAGGATTTCAATAAATCCAAGCAGTTCAGTCCCAGAGCAGCAGCAGAGCCATCATTTTACAGACAGATCAGAGACACTACCAGCTCTCTCTCTCTCTAATGTGCTTTTTTTCTTTTATTATTGATTTTTTTTACAAGGGGAATTATTATGTAATGAGCAGTAAATTAATGCACAATTACAACTTTGCCTCAAAGAGTGAAATGGGTACATTGTAACCAACAGCATCAGGTGGCACCTTATGAAGTTGCTCTGCATAATGGCCTCCTCATACATTCAGATTTTTCAAAAATGTGCCCCCGAACATGAGCTTGATGCTTCAAATTTATAACAGAAAACCTTGGTTACTAATGGCCGGTGTGAGATTTGGAAAGAAGTCTGTGTCTGTACTGCAGGTAAACAAAAGAAACAATGCCACTAAGTAGCTCTCTGCAACTGTTGCACGCAGAAATCGCTCCCATAATAGGCTCGTCTTTTCATCACCTCCTGAAAGGAACTCTTATTATCAAATAAATTCATGCAGTGAAAGATGAAATCCACAGTCTTTTTTTTTTCTTTTTAGGGCAAAATTGCATTGGGTGAAACTAACATAAGAGGTGAGGTGTGCAAATGTAGTCTGAGCAGTCTCCGCTGGGTGAATCACTTGGATGTCTTCCAAAGTCACAGCCTCCTTAGTAAAGGAGAAATTCATTTTGTCACTGTCTGAACTGTGGTAACACAAGAAGGGAATTTCAATTTAGAAGCCTCAAGAGGATATGAGTTTTTAAACTTGATACTAGCTTCAGCTGAGCACGGTGATCATATCATCAGAGCCAGTAGGATCTGCAGTGACTGAGTTGGGTCTTTTAAGTACTGGCTTGAAAATAACTTAGGTTGTTTCGGGGGTTTTTAAGTTTGAAGTTGTGGTTTCCTGGTCTTACCATTACCAAAATTCCCCTACTAAAAACCGCCCTTTGGACTTCAGTTTGTCTGCTTGGTGGTGGTCTGCAGGTTTTTCAAACAAAAGCAGCCGAGGAACACGTGTGGTCTCGGTGTTTTGCCTGTTCTGGTCATGATTTGTACGCCGTAACTCAGGCCTGGAGAGCTGCTGTCTCGCAACCCACTGTTTAGTGGTCCGGGGACCACACAGTTGCAGCACAGCTTTAATTTTTTCCATCAGATTCAGAAGGCTGAACTATATTTGCAACTTGAGGGACATAAATATTCTCTTTGATGTCGTCATGTGAACGTTTAGCGAACGTTTGAGTGTTGACTTTGTTTGTCCAGGAGGATGATTTACCTTTAATTTCTAAGAAACTTCACTTTAGACCGTGGCGCTGTCTGACCTCGCAGGCGCTGTCGGCTTGTTTTGTAATCAATCGTAAAATATCAGAACTGCCAACTTAGTGGTGATGTGCAGGGCTGAGATTGAATTTAGCACATCAGTGGGTATCATAGCATTCAAATTCCATTTGAAATTTGAGGATTAGTTTGGGATGTGACGTTAAAAAAACACTCAACCTCATAGACATCTAACATATAAGAAGGAATGGCTCTACATATGCTCAAGTTATCTTGAAAGGGGCAAGCATTGGATGCAGTGTTTGGGTGGTTTCTGCTTTTTAATGTTAACTAAACACCTGTAAAACTTCAGGACTATTTTTCTTCACAAGTGGACACAAAACAAGGTGAAAACCTTCCATTTTGTCATCTGAGGAAGCTTTTTATACTCTCCAGTCTCATATTGACTTTAACGTCCAGAGTTTTATAGATAGAGCGGGATTGGACACAAGCAATTTGGAACATCTTTATTTAAAATAATAATTTAACCCCTTCATTCGTATGTTTCTGTCTTTTTAGCTGCCAGTTCCAGACAAGAAGATCACTCTTCGCTGATTTGCACCTGGTGAATATGGAGTGGTGAACATCACATATCTCCATCCATTCCCATATATTTTATAACTTATATACTGTTTTGTTTTGTTTTTTTTGCTGAGTAATCACCAAAGCAACCCTAACCCTGGATGTGTACAGTTCCTTTGGCCATGGCCTCCATTTTTCCGTTTTCATCTATTTATCTTTTCACTTTAAGCTTCCTGCTGTGTTACGTTTTCAAAACAGACACAGTATACAGAACACATACAGAATAGGATCAGAGATAATGGCTGGAATGCTTTGAGCTTTTCAACCAGGTTTAAAGCCTAAATCCATCCCTTAAGTGTTTATTAACTTGTCAGATTAATGGCATGTGGTGTCTTTGTGACTTTTATTCTGCTGTCTGCATTTTTGTGCCATTTGTATATAAAAGAATATTTATATATGTATCTATTTTGTTCACAATGACTAAAAATAAAAATAAATATATAAAAAGTGAGAACCCCCCCCAGCCAAGTCATTATTATTATTATTATTTTAATCCTATATCATGTTTTTATCATGAAAAATGATCTTTTTCTGATCGAAGTCTATCCCAGCGGTGATAGGAGGAAAGGTGGGGAACACTCTGGATAGGTCGCATGTTTATCCCTCTGTGGCGTGGTGTTAACCTCAAACAACAAACCAGAATTTTTTGGGTTATTGCAGTGTCCATTCAATTTAATGACTGAAGGCAACCTATTGTTCAGTAAAATGAGGAGGAGATGAGGGACTGACCTTTGACCTGGTGGCGAAGCACTCTTGTCAGGAACAAAATCCACATTGGATGTGGTGCCAGCTACTGCCAAGACTAATATTATTTTTACAAGTTTAAATTAAAACCTATGAGCATGTACACAAATATATAAAGAAGTATATTTGGTTGTTTGTAAATAGATTTTGATATAATTAGTTTCCTAAAACAGCATTTTTTTAGGGGTTTCTTACCTGAGGGAAACATTATGCAGTTAGATCACTTTTCTTGGGGCAAAAACTAAAGCAGAGGTTCTGTTGTTATGGAAACTGATTGCTTTAGGCGCCACCCTGCTACCATTGATCCGATGATTGTCTTGCTAACAAGCTGTTACAGCATATAATACCCAGGTGATCTTTTGAATCAGCCGTGTTGGAACAGGAACTGGAGTCCTCATGAGAACCTCTGTGTTAATGTTTCGAGAGCACTGGGTGGTGGTGTGTATACATAGTCAAACCAACCACTAATATGAACTTATACTAACTTCGGATCAATTCAGTTTTACTTATATAACACCAAATCACAACAGCAGCCACTTCAACATGCTTTATATTGTGAGGTAAAGACCCTACAAAAAATAGAGAAAATCCCAAACATCAGACGAATCTTTACGAGCAAGCGCTTGGAGACAGTGGGAAGGAAAAACTCCATTTTAAAAGGAGAACCAGACTCAGGTAGGGGTGACCTGCTGGAGGGGAGGGGACGAAAGACGCCTTCTGGAAGACAGACAGATTTGAATAAATAAGGATTAAATGCAGAGTGGTGTATAAACTGCTCTGCACAGAGAGTGAAAAGAGGGGAGTTCCTGTCAGTGCTGTCACTGGGCACAAGAACTGTGATTGGACAGTTAGGGTTATTCTCTCAGTGAGGACAGTGAACTTACCCAGAGTGAGAGCGAGTAAAAGTCCCCAGCATCAGGTTTTAGGAACAGTTTTGAGGAACAGATTCAGAAAGTTCCACATAGTATATATAATGTCAGACACAAACAAACACACTGGCCAACAGACTAACCCATGCTGAATGAGCGCACACAAACACACAGTTTGGCTGTTGGATGAAGTGTTTGTATGAAAATTAACTTGTTGTTTGCTCAGAATAAAAATTTGAATAAATCGCTTGTTTAAAAAACATTCTGTATCGTGAATTGTTTTGTAAATTTAACAATAACTGACAGTAACATCATCGGGCTAAGATTTCAGGGAATATAAAATAAAACATATTTGCTAGGATGAAAAAGACATAATTCATGTGTTGGAGAAGCTAGGCAAACCAAAAAAATCAAAAATGATGCTTGTTTTCTTTTCGTATAGTGTATTGCATGTTTAAAAAAGAAATATTGCACACGTCTGTGTGTGCATGCTGCACCTCTAGGCAATTTAGGAAGTTGTATTAGGCTGTCAAAGACGAAATTACTGCTGTGCCTGACTGACTGGTAAATGCTCACTGCAACATGCCTGTGAGTTTCATCACTTAAATAATAGGATAGAAGTCTTTTCCAGTCCCCAGTTTTCAGGCACGAAATTGTAATGTGTAGGTCCGACTGATGCTTCCCAGGGATCCATGAATCTCTGGGTTGCACGGTGGGACTTCAGTGACACAGGCTTGATCAGTCCATCTGGTAGGTATTCCACAAGATTGGATCTAAAGAGTTTAAACATGGGGGAAGTTCTTCGTTTCTTTTATAATATTTTTTGTGTGCATTTCTTGAACCAATCCCATGAAAATTATGTTTTTGGAGTGAAACTGCGAGGTATGTGATTGCCATGTACCTAAGTGGTTCCTGGAAAAGTCCAATACTCAAAGTTTCCACTAAAATAAGACAATCAGTATTAGCTACTTTTCATGTCTTCACCTGGTTTTAATGTTTTTTCTGGTTAGTGTAGAATGTATTAGTATATTAGCACATAGTCATTTGTTTTAAAGTACTGATTTTCTAGTTATTCTCTGACCAAAATCAACCATGCAGGGACAGAAAATGCACAAAATGGCTAAGAATCACAAGAAAACCATTGCATAATTTAACAAAGAGTCAGCAAACTTAGGATAATTCTTTACATGCAGTATTTTTGTTTTTTTGTCATGAACACCGAATACACGAATGGTGGTTTACTGTGAAACATAGTAAGGTCATGAAATAAAACCCACTCCAATTCTTAAAAAAAAAAACCTGAACCCCCTCTCTGTTATCTAGATTTGCAGACGATTAGGGTCTGTAATGTGAGGACACTATAAGATCTTTATCTGCAGCAAACAGTGTGCAAAGAACAGGCGAGTACTGTCCATCCATTCGCTTATCCTTCTCAGGGGGCGCTGGAGCCTATCCCAGCTGTCCTACGGCGAGAGGCAGGGTACACCCTGGACAGGTTGCCAGTCTGTCGCAGAGCTAACACACACAGAAAGACAACCATTCACACCTATGGGCAATTTGCATTAATCAATTAACCTATCCCTACTAAGTGCATGTCTTTGGACGGTGGGAGGAAGCTAGAGTACCCGGAGGGAACCCACACAAACACGGGGAGAACATGCAAACTCCACACAGAAAGACCCCGGCCTGATGGCGGAATTGAACTCAGGACCTCCTTGCTGTGCAGCAACAGTGCTAACCACCGTGCCACCGTACTGTTATTCACTTACTTGTATTGCATACAGGGCCTTTCAGGTTCATGTGAGATAAGAGTGTGGTTGAAAGCAACGCTTCCTTATATAGTATTTCACAAATGTGGATTATCAAGCTCACTAGACAAGGAGCAAGCATTTAATGAATTGAATCAGTCATCACTGAATTCTGAATTCATAGATGAGACATAAGTACCATGTATTACTCTCTTTATGCCCCCCCCCAAAAATACAAACAACAACAAAAAAACAAAAAACAAACAAACAAAAATTGAGCAGTTAGAAGTTTCAAAAATGTTTCTGAATTATGTTTAAATGCATTTTAAGCAAATATTGAAACTGAATGTGTAGTGTCACATTCAGTGTCACAAGTCCCCAAACGAAAAGTTATTAAAACATGTTAACATAGGACTAACAGGACGTCACCTGGAGTGAGCACTCAACCCTTTTCTGGATCTAATTCTCCTCCCAGCTGCTTCACATTTGGCTGCAACCTGCCTCCGTGTGAGCTGAAGGTTTCTGCACATTTAAGTAAGCTGAATCCCTTCCCCAAGTCTACCCCATGTAGACTGAGCAAACTCCCACGCACCTTTGAATATCCTTCAGAGGATAAAGAGCTGGTCCAGTATTCCACGACAAGAACAAAAACCACATCTTTCCTCCTTCCAAGCAAAGCTAAGAAGGGTGATCCCCCAAAGGTTGGAACACATGTACCAGCCCCCTTTCGTAATGAGAAGAACCACCACCCCAATCTGCTAGTTCAGTGTGACGGCTCCTGACGTCCACCAAATGTCAACAACTCCACAATATTTACAGCCTTGAGAAACTCAGGGTGAATCTCATCCACCCTGGAAACCCTGCCATTAAGGAGTTGTTTAACTATGTCAGTGACCTCAGCCACAGGGATGTGGGAAGTTGTCCTCTTTGTCCTCAGTCTCAGCTTCCACTGCAGGTGTGTCAGTTGAATTGAGGAGATCTTCGAAGTACTCCACGACCTGGCTATTGAGGTATTGAAGACATGTGACCGTGGCAATATCTTATCCGCCACTTTGTGACAACCATGGTGACGATATGGGACCAAGTAAATAAGTCCCCAGCTACACAGGCCTAAAGACTGGTGGTTGTCAAATATGATGGACAACACTTGAGCAATGTCTGGATGATGCCATGTGTAGTCAGCAGCACAGTATACAATGTACACGGGAAGCCTCTTTGTCCTTTGAATGAAAGTCCAGCTCCATGGTCTCACTGAACTCCTTCCACACCCGGGTTTTTCTTCAGCTACTCCCATGAATGTACTCTGCTTGGCTTGCTGGTACTTGTCAGCTCCCTCCCAAGTCTCGGCTGCCTCCTAAGCTAACCAAGTTTCATAGGATTCATTCTTCAGCTTGACTGCCCCCTTTTCTTTCTGGGGTCACGTGCAATGCAAACAAGCACCTTATAGCCATTACTCTGCACAAATTGCATTCAAATTAAGATTATAAAAGTAGTTTTAACTTTTCATGTTATCCTTTTGGTCACAATTGTACGCAGGAATAAACCACGTTTTGTTTTTGGCTATTGTTTTACATGTTTTTCTATTAAATTATTTTAAACGAAATAGGTACTGATTATTTTAAATGTTTACACATGAGCATTTTCCTTCTCTTATGAGATTGTGTGGCTTTGTCTACTCATATACAGCACACTTGAGGCCTCTAGTTCGTTCCGAGGTTCTCGTCTTTTGTTTATTTCTTCAGACATGCTGCAGAGGAGACTTGAGCTCCTTGGGTTAGCTGCAGGCCAGCCACGATATTATGTAATATAGCCTAACAGATCACTCTCACGTCACTGGATTCCCCAACGGTGCATTTGAGATGCCTACGCTGTACAGTACACCTCTAACTGCACAGCGAACACAATGTCCTTTAACTTGCCACACATTTGGCAGCGGTCACGTTTTTCAGCTGCTGGCGCCACTGTCCAATCAGAGGCAGGAGAAGTCTAGGTGGGCGGGCACTGTAGCTAAGAGAACGTGACGTGACTGACACTCCAGACAAGGGC